GGAGTCCGTTTCCAAAGTGCGAAAGAAACACAATGGTTAAAACCCGGACCGCTTCCCCGCGGCCCTCCCTCTGCTGGGCTGGAGGTGAGGGACCCCCGGGCCGCGCCTCGCCCTCCTGAGAGGGGTGGAGAGCGGTCCCCTCCCGAAAGAGGAATTGAAAGGGCCGAGGGCGGGAACTGCTTGCGGCAGCAGGTCCAAAAATATGATTCCAGGAATCCAGCGGGGCCGCTTGCGGGAGGGGAGGGCGGCTCCGCGGCGCCTTTCTGCCAGGTGCTCTCCCAAAGGCAGCGGGTGCGTTCAGGAGCCCGGCGGTGCTGGCCCCGGCACCTCGGTTAGGAATGTCCTTGGAGGAGGCGGGGAACCTGGGGCCGCCCCCGCAGGAGCCGCCGTGTGAGGACGGCCCGGCCACTCTATCCTGCGGGCTCGGGGAGCGGGTGACTTTAGAAAGTCCGAGAAGGTGTGGATTCCCATTGACGTCCCTCCCGCCCTGAAGTCTGGGTGATTTCACAGTCAGTTCTACTGGAATGTTCCTTTTAAGGAATTCTCCTGGGGTGGAATGAATGTCACCTGAGATGAAAGAGTGGTTCTGGATGACCCATGGAGGCCTGTTTCCGCTTACATTTCTAGTGGTTGACTTGAGCCCTCTTAGATCTATCTGCTTTTCTGAAAGCTGTGAGGCTGTCAGATGGCCACTGTGCACCTGTGGGCATAGCTCATCCCTGCAGAGATGAGGCACCTGGGGCTGTTCTCAGGCGGCTACTCTCAGCACTCACAGCCCCACAGGCCCGTGCCCTCATTCAGTGCAGCCTAGCTGGTCGCTCTCCCAGGCCTCTCTGTTTTCCGGTTTCTTTAATGATGAATCCTGGCCTGTGCCCCTGGCCGAAGCAGCGTGGGCCTGTGTGCCCTGGTCGCTCGGATTCGCCGTCCAGCCGTGGGCTTGGTCGTGTGGCTGGTGCAGTGCCCTCCAACAGCGTCCTCACCCTGAACATTCTGCGTGCACAGGGACTGCGGCATGGGGCGTGCTGGTGATGGGAGTTGAGGGCAGCAGGATTCACTCCCAACCCACGGTGCCCGCTCTGCACAGCACTGCAGGGCCCCGCTGCAGCCCCTCCTGGCTGTCCTCCTGGACACGCAGGGCCCATGTCATTCAGACTGAAGGAGGCCTGGAGGTACTGTGTTGTTCTTCCCAAGTCAGTCCCCTACCTGGTTTTCCAATTTTAATTTAATAACTTCATTTACAAAGGTGTGAAATGAAGACAAGAAAATGAAAACAGCACTCAGGATCCCAACACTTCAATACAACTGCGGTTGGGTCAGATGGTTTCTGTGCTGGCATGTCCGTCCCCCTCACCCGTCTGCATGTGGCTGAGTAGCTTTGATGCTGGGGAGGCCTCCTTCCCGTCCTTTCACAGCCTGGCCCCAGCAGCCTCTGCTGGCTTCCTTTCAGCGTCATCTCGTTTCCAGAGTTCTGCCCTCCTTCCCAGCCCCCATGCCGAATGATAACAACCCGCTTTCCCTCTGGTTTTTGGAGCTGGCCATTAGCTTGCTGTCTGTTTCTGTTTCGGGTTCCTGCAGGCAGGCGGATGCTGGGGAGAGCCTGGTTGGGGCAGGGGCAGGGTCCAGAGGCTGGCTGAGTCCCAGCCGGCTCCAGCACACCAGGCCCACCCCTCCTGGGACCCTAGTCTCCACTGCATCCTCTGCCACACCCTTGGGAGACCCCAGGCCCGAGGGAACCGTCCAAGCACAACTTCCTGCGAATGCATGAAAATCATCCATGAACTTCTCCCTGTCAAAGGCCAGGGGCTCCTTGTCTTTGAAATGTCGGTTGCTTTACATTTTGTGCGGTGAGGCTGATTGAGGACAAGGGCTGTGGCCTGAGCTCACGCGTTGACCAGGATCTGGCCGTGGTGACTGTCAGAGCATCCTCGGGCCCCTGGCCTCCCCAGGCCCGAGTCCTGATGTGTGGTCCTCCACGAGTGGTTGTGGGGAAGGTGGTCCCAGCCCCCTGCCGTTTTAGGATGTGGGAAGTGCCTGGCCGCCGTTAGTTAACATGCACCTACCCAGCCCTGCCTGTTTTCCCTGGGCAGCCTCCTACGAGGGAGGGAAGGGACAGCTGGAGCCAGCTCCCCAGTGTGCTCACCTTCATGTCCACCCGCTAAACTGCTAACCTGCCTGAAGCGTGTCTCACTGCCCCTCGCTGGGGCTTCTTCCTGGTTGCGCCTTCTTCCCGGGAGCGCCTGCTCTGCAACCCTTCCAGCAGGCAGATACTAAGCACAGCACCCCTCCCAGGCTCCAAGCTCACTTGTGTGCTAACCCCTGTGCCCACCTGCCCACCTGCTAACCTGCCTGCAGCGTGTCCCACTGCCTCAAGCTGGGGCTGCTTCCTGGTTGCGTACTTCTTCCCGGAAGCACCCGCTCTACAGACCCCCACCTTTCAGCAGCCGGATCCTTAGCCCAGCACCCCTCCCATGCTCTGGCCCTCACCACACACCTGTGGTTTAAAGCCCTGTTCTGCTGAAGGGACACTCCTCCCTCCTCCCCAGCCCTCTCTGCTGGAGCCGTGTCCCTCCCTCGACATTCCTCCAGGCTGGGCCGCCCCCACGGGCCTCCACCGCCCAGACCTTCTCCTTATCTTGTTTTCCTTTTTATATTGTTATTCTCCCTCCCTGGCCTTGCCTCTCCCTGCTGGGTTCCTTGCCCGAGTTTCTAATTCAGAGAGGACTGGGTAACTCCCCACTGTGTCTCTGCTAAAGCTTCCCAGGCCCAGTGCCTTTTTACTAAATCCTTGAAGGCCATCAGGTTCCAGGGCCTGCTAAGATCTGTGTAATCACCCCTCGATTCCAGAAAGGATCCAAGACTAGAGACTTATCCCAGCCCAGCCCTAACGCCCAGGTCCTCCGGTGCCTGCTTGGGAGCCTGTTTGTGCACTTTGATCCCCGGCTTGTGTGCAGGAACATCATCCAGGCTGTGGTTCCTGATCCCATCACCTGGCTTTATTTGAGATACAAAGCACGATATTCACTGAGGGCTGGTGGCCTTCCCTGAGGGTCGGCCTGGGTTAGCCGACCTGCACCTGCACCTGCACGACATGTGGCCAGGCCTGTGCTCTGAGGCCAGGTTTCCCTTCCCCCTTCTCTTTCTTTGTCTCCCTCTGTGTTTCTCTCTCTTCTCCCCACTGCTGGTGGTGAGGAATTCTCTGCAAGGGATGTCGGTGTATCCGTTTTGAAACTTGCTGGCTCATCCTCAATTGCATGTGCCCTCCAAGCACCTTTTCCCTGACCTTGTGGATTCTTTGGGCACAGCTAGGGAAGGAGTACCCTGTATGGAAATGAAAACCCCTCTGAGTCCCCACCTGGGGACAGCCACTTGGCTGGGACACAGGCCCAGATGTTGGGATGGCCTAACGGGAGGTTCCAGTTGGAGGGGAGGGCTGTACAATGTGGGGGCGCCTGGTAGGGAAGATGATGGCCAGGCTGAGACCTCCCCTGCCGTGCTTTGACAGAGGCTGCAGCACACTCCCACACACATCCCACAGATACATGTGCACATGCACACATGGACACCTGCACAGATAGGTGCTGACTCATGGATATAGGTGTGAACGGACACACACACCCCTACCCAGACACATGTACACAGGTACGTATGTTCCCATAGACAGATATATATGCATGTACACATAGGCACACACATACTAATAGACATACGCATACATGCACACATTCACATAGATATACGCACACACAGTCACACACACTGATAGGCACACACATGCTACCAGACATGTGCACATACATGCACACATTCACACAGACATACGTACAGTCATACATGCAAACACACAGGCACACATACTAACAGACATGTACACATGCATGCACACATTCACATACATATACACAGTCACACACGGACATGCACACACACGGGCACACACATACTAACAGACATGTACACACACATGCACATATTCACATAGACATATGTACACACAGTCACACTGATAGAAATGCACACATACACAGGCACACACATACTAACAGACATGTACACATACATGCACACATTCATGTAGACATACACACAGTCACACACATAGACATGCACACATATACACAGGCACACACACACTAACAGACATGTACACATACATGCACACATTCACATAGACATACGTACACACAGTCACACACAGACATGCACACACATACACAGGCACACATATACTAACAGACATGTACACATACATGCACACATTCATATAGGCATACATACAGTCACACACAGACATGCACACATACACAGGCACACACACGCTAACAGACATGTACACATACATGCACACATTCACGTAGACATACATACACACAGTCACACACAGTCACACAGACAGACATGTACACACATGCATAATGACATGCACGCACGTACACACAGTCACATACACACACACAGGCACACATGGATGCCCAGCCACATGCATGCAGACACACACAGACACATGCGCACCCTCTCACACACTTTTCTCTTTCCACAACTTCGGGGTCAGAAGACCACTGACAGCTGCATCAGGATCCCTAAAAACTGAGACAAGGTTCCGGGGCTCTGTGGCCCCAGCTTTCTCGGACCCCCGGGGTCTCTCCACTCCCGGAGCCCCCTGCCCGAGGGGCCGGAGCCCTGTGGCCGAGGCCTTTCCTCCTGGGCCCATCCTGAGGCCTGCAGGCTGGCAGGGGGACCAGGGCCTGGCCTCCTCTGAGGGCTGTCTTCCATGCTGGCTCTGCAGCCCTTTCCTGTGCCTGCACCTGTGCAGGTGCTTGTTTCTACCCGGTGTCTGCAGGCACTTGGTGCCAGGCTCCCCCAGGGCTTTCTCAGAGGCAGCCGAGTGCCAGGCCCTGCACACGACACCCTCACCCGAGCCGGAGAGCTTCACATCTGTGGAAAACTCTAATTAAAGACGTTTTGAGAAACGCTGAACGTCTCCCTTTGTTATTTAGGAACAAAACACCCTTTTAGGAAGCAAGTGCTTATGGCTTCGTTCTTGAGACTCTGAGTAAAGGGGCATTAAGCTTGCTAGCTGGGGCATG